GTTCGTTTTTAGACTCTTTTAGGCCACAGAAATTCTATAAAAAATGCAACTAGTTGCAAGAGCTTAGAGAGCCAATTACACGTCCGAACTTTAAAGGCCTGCATGAGAAAGCACTACAGGTAAACTCCCGGTTGATCTGTCTTAAACAACATAGCCATGTACTCCTGAAAATGGTTTTTTTGGACTGTACATCATTATCCACTGGCCAATGACATGCGAAAATAGGTTCCATCTAGACTAATACAGTATGAGTAAACAAAAAGCGTCGGCCGGATGACGCTAATACCCTAGTAGCATCGGTCGCTATACGTGTGGTGACTGCATGTACTGCTTTTGCGATTTGTCGCGACACTGAAGTTGTGCAAGCTAACTGGTTAACAAAGGGTGCAACAAGTGCACAATCATTGATTGTTTTGTTTATCGCATCCCAGAGGCGCGCGCGCCCACGACCCCATTTCTGCGAGTGTGCAGCGTGTGCTCTGTGCTAACTTACTGGGTTCTATTTACTGCTAATCCCTTGCATATTTTTTTCTGTTATATTTGTGTTTGCACTGTTTGTGCCTGAATAACGGCGTGTGAGGAAGGAGGTGCAGGAAATGTGTAGAGAAGCTGCTTACCAACGATAAGCAGTCTAGAATTCCAAATAACCTACTAATGGACGATTGTGACAGCGAATCTACGATTAGCAGCGTGTTAGACTATGACTTTAGGGGTAGCGAACTTGCCGGGTCGTCGACCGGACACCATTGTGATGAACGATTAATCGAGGGCGCGCAGTGATATACGGAGCCGACTGCGTAATTGGGCTTCGCAGTACAATATTGCGCATTCTCACCTGCGTAGCCTTTTGGAACTCGTTAGGTTTGTCTTGCCGCAGTTACCTGCAGATCCTCGACGCTTCTGGGAGGGTCGTATACACTACAGGTTGGCCTAATGGACATTGGGGAATATGCTAACATTGGCTTGCAAATGCAACTGTGCGCATTATAGTCCAGGAATGGACTGCTCTCT